TATATATATATATATATATATATATTACTTGGAAGTATTTTGCTGTAATTGTCACCTAATTCTGGACCATCCATGTACCCATATATAAGGAGGATTTTGTAGAAACCCTAATTAGATGTTTTGAGAAACATATGTCCAAAGAGAAGGTAGTTCATGAATTGGAACTTCACAAGAAGAAAAATCCAAAAGTTACAGGCCCTAAAAGTCTTATTACAATATATAATAAGTATTGCAAGTTCTATATATCAAACTAGAAACTGACCATTTGTGTCATCACAAGGTCACTTAAAAGTTATTGCTAAAGATGGAAAGTGGTTCACCCCCCCCCCAGTATATATTCACCAATAATTAAACCATACCCAAGTGCAGATGAATCTTGTGGCCAAGAACAAAAGTACACAGTGGGAATCATTATAAGTGAGTAAGCTAGATGCAATGTGTAGATGAGATGGTGTTTGAAAAATTGAAAGAGCAGCATCAAATTCTTTTGGCACTACAGTACAAATCAAAGGTGCATGCTAAAGTAAAATTGAAATGAAAGCACTTAATAATTAGGGTTGTATTTCTATGGTCTGATTGTCATCCACCCTTTGAATTGAATGCGCATAGTACACATTCGTAAGGAGCTGAGGGCCTCCATGTAGTCATACTTATCTCAATGGCTGAAAGCAACCCTAGAACCAATCCCATGTGGTCCTGGTAAGTGGTCATAATGCCAGTCTAAAAGGAAATGACAGCGTAAGTTAGGGCTTTCTTTAGGAGAGAGAGAGAGAGAGAGAGACAAGGGTGTGTATATATAGGTTTAGGCGGCATGTAAATATGGAAAGTAAATAGTGGTGTTCCAAGACTTTGAAGTATTGGGGGACTACAATTTTCAAGAAAATGTACTGATAGTAAAATGGCACACGGCAAGGGTTTTTGGTGAAGAATGTGAAGTGATCCTATTATATATTATTCCAGATTTTGGGATTCTTTAAAACCACATATTAATAATCACGTTTGGTCCACCACTGCAACAAATTTAGGTTTACAGGATACCTTCAATCTGTAAGTGTTTCAATAGATCATTTTCTAAGACTTAATTTATATGATCAAAACATAAAGTGTCCTATTTAAAGGCGTTGTAATAAGTTTATATGACGCTTTTGGGCGTCGTAACAAGTTTTTAAAGACATTTTTAATACAAAGTGTCGCATTAGCAACTTTATAGGACACTTTTGATAAATTGTTCTATAAACTCATTTTTTTATAGGACACTTGTTTTTATAGGATAAATTTTCAAATAGTGTTATATAAAGTTGATAATGAGACACTTTATATTAAAAGTGTCCTAAAAAACTTATTACGACGTCAAAAAACGTCATATAAACTTATTACAACAACTTTAGATAGAACATTTTATTTTTTTGGTCCTATAAACTAAGTCCTATAAAGATGTCTATTAGAACACTTAGAAACTGGGAGTGTCCTATAAACCCAATTTTGTTGTAGTGTATGATTGGGATCAATAAAGTACATGAAAAAAACATGTTATCTTACACGGTGAAGATAGTGTACTTCTTGTTCCAATTCTCATCGAGTATTGTGCTTTTTTGATGTACTTACTAAGTTAATCTCTATCAGTGATTTTAGAGGCTTCAAAAATAGAAAAATAGGATGTGGGCACTCAAAATTTGTGTCTAATACCTAAAGCAATTAACATTTTTGTAAGAAATTAAAAGTCACGGAAAACAAAGTGTGTAATATTTGATCTTTGTTAATCCCAGAACGACCATCTGTTTTGCAAATAGCCTGGAGTCACCGCATTTGAACCTCTGTGGCCACAAGGGGATTTTTATTCCTCCTTGGATTTGAACCCGAGACCTCCAGGTACTTTTGACATTTGGAGCCAAACACAAACCAATCAGGCACCACCCTTGTGGTTCAATTTTCTTTTGAAGTAATGCTACAGTAGTTTGCATAGCCTTACGACGTTGCAGTTAAATGTGATTCTAAATATAAATCGATAGATGAATATCATGAGTTTTCATTATTTTGATATATTCATGTTAGTATGGATTTTTTTTAATATTATTTTGAAGTAATGTTAGTATCAAACTAAATGGTTAACGGAATTAAGGGGCCGTTTACTTAAACACTTACCCAATAAGCACTTATCGATAAAATTCAATACTATCGCTTACTTACCGGATAAGATTTTATTTACTAAAACGCATCGTATGCAACAATTTATCCTGGTAAGCGCTAACCATGATAAGAGTCATCGTCCTCACTTACCGGGTAAGACTCTCGATTCTTGTCTTCGTTCTTACCGGGTAAGATTTTTAGTCCTTGGCATATTCATCCGGTAAAGTAAAGTGACTTGGTAAGCGCTTACTCGGGTAAGCGTTTGGTTAACGGCACCTAACTCAATCATGATCAAAGTATATAAAACATTGATTTAATAAAGCATACAAAAATCATGATCAAAAGCAATTTCGATGGTGACGAGTCGTTAACCCTAGGCCTCGGAATTCTTACTTTAGGGTTACACATGCACAAAAATAAAGACTTTGAAACTAATTAACAAGTAGCTATTTTTTGCAATAAAACAAATTATTCAAGAAGCAAAACTTTTGTCAACTGTACATTAACACATTTGCTAACATTAAAGCACACAAGATTCAACTTATTCAAGAGATTTAAGGTTGATAATTCCTTACTAATTAATCGATAATCATGTATCTTATAAACCACGAAAAGTAGGAATTACCTACTTTCAGGTTCTTGAACAAGTTGAATCTTGTGTGCTTTTTTTTTTATCAACGTGGATATCCAACTCGCTATGTGAGCTGACTAATCCTAGGACGACCATCTGTTTTGCAGATAACCCGGAGTCACCGCATTTGAACCTCCTTGACCACAATGAGATTTTTATTCCTCATTGGATTTGAACCTGAGACCTCTGGTACTTTTGACATTTGGAGTCAAGCTTAAACCAATCAGACACCACCCTTGTGGTTAATCTTGTATGCTTTAACATTAGTACTGGTAGCAGATGTTATCTTAAAGATGATCCAATCCAATTCCAAAACCCATGGTTATGTATAATAATTAGAGACTGGTTATGTATAATAATTAGAGACTGTTTACGGGAGACTAGATATTTTTTCAGATAAAGTTAACTATGCAACCATGATGTCGACAAGAAAAAGACACAAGACCAGTATATCTCAACAAAATAAAAAGTAAAACACAAGCTCAAAATTTAATCATTTGATGGTTACCGTGACCAAATTACTTATAGGTGTTTTTTTTTTGTGTGAGAGAGAGATGGATATTGGGTCTTTTTAGTGAAAGTGACATGAGAACAGGCAAGTCAAAAGAAGGGGTTTCTTGCATTGAAGAGCCACATATGAATAGAGCATCGCCTAAATTTTTTATACCATGGTTATAAAGTTGATCAATAAACATAAATTAGTTTTATTATAAAATATTATAATATTTAATGTGAAAATTTAAAATGCTACAAGAATGAATCTTCTAGGCAAAAACAATCACATCAATATATTCAAGTAAATAAGTAATTATTTTAACTTGAAATTTGAAAATTTGAAGTAAAAATACATCTTTTTTGTCTTCTCTTACACCAAGCACTCAAGTTAGTATCCGCAACAGCTGAGATCAACTCAGAAAAGTAACCCTAACTCCCTAACCTCCCCCTCCCCCTCCCCCACCCCAACCACCACCACCCCAGGAATCTATATATCTCTCCTCCGTCCGGAGTCCGGACCCCCCTCCTCCTCCCTCAGACACACATGCTCATGGTGGAAAGAAGACTGGGAAAGCATGCAAGTTTTGGTCAAGGCACACAAGGGTTGCTTTCAGAGTAAAAGGTGTTTTGGATTAATGTTCTCTCTCTCTCTCTCGTACACACACATACAGGCATAAGAAACAGACACCTGCTGCTATCACTCACGTGAAGTGGCACAACAAGAAGTGCTTCCTATCCACTCAACGACTATGAAACTACTTACTCTCTTCTCATCTTCTTCACCAAAGAAATTGCCCAACTTTTACTCAAAAAGGTGAGAGAAAGGAGAAAATGGCTCTTTGTCTCCATTATTGATAAATTCACTCTTGATTCTTTACCATTAAGAAAACTTGAGGCATTAGAGGGCAAATGGGCCTTTATTTCTTTCACTATCAGTATATATGTCTATAGCTCTATGATGACTGCTTTAGCATGCTTGCCAGTCTTTCTCAAAGTCCCACTTCTTAGTTGTTTCAATGAATCTTCAAACTCTCTCTCTCTCTCTCTGTATGTATGTACCTTCATCTTAGATCATATAATTTCTCATGCTGAATTTGTACCTTCTCAAAGGTTACAGTGAATATATGTTGAGCTGTCTTGATTTCTAACAATCTTGTTTCTTGCTGTGAGATATAAGGCTTTCGTTATCAAGCTCCCTTTTAGATCTAGCTATTATTTGTTTACATTTTGCATAACTATATGTAGCTTTCTGGGGGCTAAAGAGCAAACATGTACCCCTCTTCCAACAGCAATGGCTCTAGGGCATCTTTTTTCGGTAACTACTACAATGATACCAACCACTCAAGAACCCCTCAAGAACATTATTATACTCCATCTTCTTCTTCCTCTTTCCTACTTCCATCCCCTAATTACATTCCTTTAGAAGATGAAGCTGTCTTTTGTGGGCTCTTCCAACAGCAACAGCTCTTCACCAATGATCATAACTACCACAATACCAGTGTTCTAGCTCATGAACATTCTACTCATGAGATGACTACTAATGTGGAATCTGCCATGGGAGAATGTAGCAACAACAATGGACAGGTTGCTACGAACGATAGAGATGATGATCCCTATGGTTTTAATACTCACGTGGAGCCTGAAAATAGCAGTCTAAGGAAGAGAGCTTCCAAAAGAGACCGTCACAGCAAGATTTACACAGCTCGAGGCCCCAGAGATCGAAGGATGAGGTTGTCCCTTGATGTTGCTAAAAAGTTGTTTGGGTTGCAAGACTTGCTTGAGTTTGATAAGGCCAGCAAGACGGTCGACTGGCTTCTCACGAAATCAAAAGCTGCCATTCAAGAACTCCTTCCTGACCGGAGGTGCAGTTTTATGGATGTATCCAACAGTGCCTCTTCTACTTCAGAATGCGAGGTTCTGTCCGGAACCGGTGATCAGTCCATGGTGAAGACCGGAGATGATCAAACAACTGCAAATAACAAGGCAAAGTCGTCTTCTAGATGCAGCAAAAAGCAGCAGGAAAAAATTAATAGAATTCGGAGGAGTGCAAATCTTCATCACCCTCTTGCTAAAGCAACAAGAGAAAGGGCAAGAGAGAGGGCAAGGGAGAGGACAATTGAAAAGAGATATAATATGCTTGTAGTTGGTGGTCAAGATTCAAAATTCAGACCATGTCTAGATCAGATTATGGATCAAGATGCTAACTTATTAGGGTCTTGGATCCCCTTTGAAGAAAGCCAACATCAAAGCATTGTTCAACCCGATCAGAACAGCTCGCAATTCCAATTAAAGAAAGGATTTGTTGGTGATAATTCTTCGCTGATGATGGCAGGCAATTGGAGCCCATCCTACTTATTGAACTACCTGCATAGCACCGGACTAAACGCATGAGGTAATACAGTAGTTTCAATTGATGTCTAATTCATTAACTAGCAAGAAATATTGGATTTTTACTTATCTAATTAATAGGCCTTTTTTCAATGAATTACTCCTTTGATTGATCGATACACGATGTAAACTAATCTAAGCTGCTTCACGTAATTTGCTTTGCAGCATCAGTTAAATGACTTCCAGATAATTGGTAAAGCATGGGAAGGCAACAACAATTAGGTCAGTGTTACTTGTTCATATTATTATGGATCCATTGATCAATCTTCTCTCTCATGGGTGCCAATTGTATTATAAGATTAGACCATGGGTACTGCTCTTTTCAAAGTTTTCTGAATGTAATGTTTGTAAGTGCCTGGATTGATTTTTGTTTAAAAATAATTGATGAACAAGTTTTAGCGGTGAAATGTTCCATGAGATGATCAATTTATGTTGTGCTACCGTCGTGCTACCATTAATGCAGCTTCTCTTCATGTAATCCAGCTTCTCTTATTAATTTATGTTGTGCCAGTCACTTATAACAAGCTATGGTATCAGTCTCTGAAATTTGAACGGCGAAGATCTACTCAATTTGTTCCTTAATTTATCATCTACATATAACTGAACAATTGGATACACGGGTTGTCATCTTATACATACATATATCTACATGATCATAGATCAATATTTAAGGCATCTTGCAATGATAAATACAAGAATTATGAATAGACCTTCCCATACACAACACATCATCAACTCATCAGACCTCTAGGGAGATTGTTTTGGGGAGACATCCTTGTGTAAAATACCTTATTTAATTAGCACATCTCAAGGAATCACGATTTGTTGGTTTAAGTTCAATGGAAAAAGAAAGATACACCTTGCACTCAAACTAAATAGCAAGAAGATGATATACATATATGCATGTGTATATACACACACTTGATACACATATACATGAATTTACTAGATAACATCATTAAGATCATCAAGATTGTATCCTATATATCCTTGTTAGATGCAGCTTAGGTGGTTACTATAGCTAGGGAAGAAGAGTTGATCAATACAAGTGAAAGTTAGAGATGAATGTCTAGGTAGCTGTAGCATGAGTATCCGGAAGAATTCCGTTCATGTGACTTACTTTCTATCTTGTTAGGGTCTTTACTTGCGTCTATACGAAGTTACTGGTCAAAACACCATCTGGGAAAGGATGTATATGATGAGAGGAGATAAGTTTGTGAAAAGATGCAAGTGTGTTAACTCACTCACATACGGCGATGATGTCAAACTCTACACTAGAAACAGATATTGATGGATGATCCAAGACTTTCCCAAAGGTGGAAGGTTAAGATTTTTTGAACTATTTTGAGCTAGTCATGTATATATACAGTAGCATATTATGAACGAACTTTGTGGATATAAGAATCTTACAAAGAATATGAGCTAGAGTAAGTAAAATCAGTAGATATTCTGAGCTTAATTCCCAAATATGACTGCACTGGAAAATCAATACAGAGAATTTATTATTTGGATGGTGTGAGTTATTCTGAAAATATTTACAAGAACTTACAGGCATAACCAAAGAGTATACAATGAGATTTTTGTATTCATCAGTAATTATCCATTCTAATGAATCTAAATTATGCAGTCCAGCCAAAAGATCACAGAAAAATAACCTAATTAAGTTAAGATGCATGATCCAATGATGGGACACATAGCGATTAAAGTACAATATGCTGAAAACTCCAAACTACATCAAGCATCCAACAACACCCATTAGCATATATTGATACTTAGATACCCTTTTCTTTTTGTTTTTAAGGCGTGAGTGCTTTTTGTTACATCTTATTTCCTTAAGGCATAGATATACGACATCCAGGTTATTGTATTCTTCTGGAGACCGGAGAGGTGAAATAACAATTCTTATTAATATGGTGGGGTTTCTACAGATTTAATTTTATAGTCAAACATTTCGTTTAAAATTTATGTGATAATCAAATGTTGTATCAATTACGAGACAAATAAAGGAAAAGGGTACAAGATTGTATTTAATTAAACCACTGTATGGTTAATACACTTTTGGACTGTAATTAATTATATACAAGTACAAGGATATATAAAGACCCCAATCACCAGCAGAACCAAACTAGTGGGTTGTTAGGTACACTTACAGTAAGTCACTTCATTGTCTTGCAGAAGGAACAAGTTAAAGCTTCTTTCTTGAATGAGACAAGGTTCATTCAGTTTTCATATTTCTACAGTACTGTTTGGCTACCTGTACTCATTTATGTCTTCTTCTTGATGATATTTGAGTAATTGAATATGAAATCTCCATTGAGCCCCTTACCGATTTAAAAAGAAAATTGAACTGAAAATTATATTTAAAATTTTCATCAATCTGCCTTTTTTTAGGGTTTTTTTGTTGTCAACTGGGTTCACTTGGATTGTGTGCGTGTGTTAAGCTATTGGTCCAAGAGTTCTGATATGCAATTTAGAGGCAGAGCTGGGTTAGTGGATTTCTTGTTTATTCATCAATCTGCCCTTTTAGGGTTTTTTGTTGTCAACTGGGTTCACTTTGATTGTGTGCGTGTGTTAAGCTACTTGGTCAAAGAGTTCTGATATGCAATTTAGAGGCAGAGCTGGGTTAGGGAAGTTCTAGTTTACGGGATTAATTAAACAAGAAAATCCACTAAGATCGAGAGGGTTGTTTCATGTACATCTTGTTATGCATGTAGATACGCCGCATGCATCACATCACCATACATGACAAACATGAGAATAGATATAGGATGACTTTGAGTGTCTCTGTGTGTTGGAGGGGTGACTACACAAACCAAAGTTAGTCTGTTCAAGAAATATTTACTTTTGGCTTCCAATCATCAATGTTAGATTTAAAGTTCAAATTAGGTTTTTATGGTTCACTTCAATTTCTGTTGTGGGGTTGTCTTGCATCTAGTGGTACTTCAATGTTTTATGTGGTTCTGGTTCATTTGGCAATTAGAAGGATTTTGGCTCAGTGTTAGGGCATATATTATTTGTCTGTGTATGGCTTCTTTGTATTAGTACATTGAAGATAATTAAGTTACCAACTTTGATTGAGGCTTCGCATCGAAGCCCATGGTTTGGTGTCGGCGCAATCATTTTCACCCTTCTTCGTCGTCTCTCTAGTGGTGATCGTTGTTGTTGACACATAAAAACTGAGGCCAACAACCCATGTTGAAGCCTAATGTTTTTCATCTTTATTACGGAAGATGCATCTGTTTTAGGTTCACATGGCACAAGACAAGCAAGCTAGCTAGGGTTTGTTTCTTTATGAGTTCAGGTGATCCAAACCCTAGTCTTTTTGTTTTCAAGTCTCGTGTTTATGTTTTATCCTGTAAATTAGCATGCAAGGATGCATGATGGTTGTTAAATATAAGTTTCCATCGTCAAGTTAATTCATCACTAAAGGAGCAGTATTTTGGTGTATCCTATGCTAATTAGCTAGGGGGTGAGTGATCATAGACCAATGAACAAAGACGATTCCAGATTAAAATCTTACCCGGTAAGTAAGTGATAATGTTGAATTTTACCGGTAAACACTTATCAGGATAAGCTTTGGTAAACGGCCCCTAAGTATATAGAGGAGAAAACATCAAAATTTAGAGGATTTGAGGATAATGAAATATGTGTAATCCCTATAGTACTCTGCCAAAGAGCCTTTGAGGAGAAAATGAAGGTTCCAACGTATATAGAGGAGAAAACATCAAAATATAGTTGATGTGGCACTCTAGCTAACATGCCGCCTTCAATGGAGGCTAGGACACAAATTGTCCCAGAATGTCTGAGAGAAGTTCCTAGAGTCAGTGGAGTGTTAGATCTTGACTCTCATGTCATGCGAAAAATATGTGGAACCCCTGAGTTACTCTTTGAAAGATCCACCGAAGAGTGAAAGGAGGTTCCAACGTATATAGAGAAAAAAATGTCGAACTCTAGCTGAAGTTGGACTCTAACATAAACAACMATACATGCATGATGAGATGGAAATCAAAGGACTTTGCTCTCTTGATGATTCCATTGTTACAACTTCTAGACATCGTGGAATAGGGGTGGGGAGGTTGATGAACATAATTAGGGTTACGAAACCCTTCAAAAATAAGCTAAACGGAGGAAAATCAACCTTTGTCATCTCAAGAGACGAGACAATATCAGCTTTTGAGAAGATTATAACAGATAGATACCGAGAGTCATTCATGTATAATAAAATGATCTTTACACCTTTAAAAGCCCACATGTTTTAAAAATTTAACTAATTTAACTATGTATGATCAGTTGCAACACATTTAAGTCCCAAGTCATTTGTGATGCAATATGACATTGTGCAGGGGAAAAGTTGACAACTTATATTGCATGTTGTACGTTTGTGTGTATACAGTTTATCATTGGGGCACCCTAAAAACCTATAGTTTAAATAAAGGCAAATTGCATGAAAAAGTAACGTACTTTAACTTGATTCCTATTTTGGGTAACGTACTTTCAAAACTTTCATTTTGGTACCTATTGATAGAGCAAATTGCATGAAAAAGTAACGTACTTTAACTTGATTCCTATTTTGGGTAACGTACTTTCAAAACTTCTATTTTAGTACCTAAGATGTAAACTTTTAAACATTTAAGTACCTGGGTAACCCAGTGAAGACTAATTTTAGACTAAAAAAAAAGACTAATTTTAGATTAAAAATAATCCACGTCACTGACTAGGTCAACAAATAATACCGAGTTGGATACCACATCACTCGCCACATCAGTATGATAACCGGTTAATACTTCAACCAGTTACTCGGGTACTTAAATGTTTAAAACTTTACATCTTAGGTACTAAAATGGAAGTTTTGAAAGTACGTTACCCAAAATAGGAATCAAGTCAAAGTACATTACTTTTTCATGCAATTTGCCCTTTAAATAAAACCAACTTCAAACACATATCTAGAAATGTTCCTCAGTAGTATAATCAGTTATATATTGTCCTCCTAAAAAAACACATAC